TGCATCCATTGTTCAGGCTGGATGAGTCCTTATTAGGCATTGCTGGCAACAGGAAGTGGGCTGGGCTTTGGTGCTGTGTCACAGGAAGTAGCAGATTGTATCACGGGCGGGACAGATGGAGGGAGAGGTGGAAGAGATGGATTAGGGGACTATAGGGAGACCATGCAGGGAAAATAAGGAGAGGAGGGGGAGGGATCGTAAAACCTTTGTTGTTCTGCATCTGCACAACTCCTCTACTCACCATTTACCGACACTTTGGTTTCTTCTGTTTTGCTGTGCTTTAAGCTGAGACACGCATGCACATTAACATGCATATATTAAGATTTACAGTTAAATGAATGAATGCAGACTTTACAGTGTTTAGTGGTATTTATTTAAATGTTACGCCATTACTCTGGTCCAATATTATCAGCATACACAAGGAAAAAGCAAATATGTGTGTAGAGAAGGAATATTTGTTTATTTTAAGATCTCTGTTTTAAACACGTCTGCCCTACCCGAGATACCTGAGTAAACATGGTTTTGTTTTTTTGTTTGTTTGTCTGTCTGCATAAACCTATTAATACCAGTGATGTCAGCGCACATGTGGCTGTTTTCTTCCAAAGTGTGATGAGGTGGAGGCTGATGGAAAGCAGGTGGAAGATTCCAGTGCCTCGTCTGTTTGGCAGAGCACGGCACAACTTCCCGTCTTTGTCGGCTTCCATTGTTGCGTTTTGTTTGGGATCAAACTAATCTGTTTATCCAAGCAGTTATCAACACCATACTGCATTTTTAGATTTTTTTTTTCTTCCCACGTGTAAGCTACTGATTTCTTTATATGTCGCTTTGAAGACGTTAGACTTTGTGTATATTGTTAATGTGGAATATTCTCCGGGTTTTTCTTCTGACATTGGTGGCTTTTTCACTCATTTTCAGTTCATTCCTTGTTCTTATTTTTGTTCTTTGTTCAGCCACTTAAGACTGATCTATGAATCATTTCAGCATAGAAACACCAAACTCAAAACATGAACCAGTTTTGTGTCTACAGATAACAGAGAACAAAGAACCAGTTGTAAAATATATCTTTAGGCTCTTTGTTGCTAGCATCCTGTTGCAAAAACACATAATGTGTTTATAATTCTTTAGTTTAATGTTTGTAAAAATGCCACAATAACACAAAATAGTAATTTTGCTCCAGAAAGGCCCAAAGAGTTATTCACTAAAACGTTGCTCAGCATAATGTGCAGTATGTCATTAAAAAATCAGAGGAAACTGAACAGGTGGAAGAAAAAGTTTTTGAAGGCTTGCCACTTCTATCTAAACAGTATCTGAAAGTCATGTCCTTTAAGAAATAGTAGGAAATCTAGCCTTCAGTTGATTTGTAAAGAATCAACTGAAGAAGAAAAACGGGGAGGAATGGGTGGGGTATACCAAATGACCCAAAAAGTTCAAATTGCTATAGGTAGGTATGGAGGAGGTCATGAGAGAGGTGCTAGAGCAGGGGTGGCCAACTCCAGGCCTCGAGGGCCGGTGTCCTGCAGGTTTTAGATATCACCCTGGGTCAATACACCTGAATCAAATGATTAGTTCATTACCAGGCTTCTGGAGAACTTCAAGACATGTTGAGGAGGAAATTTAGCCATTTAAATCAGCTGTGATGGATCAAGGACACATGTAAAACCTGCAGGACACCGGCTCTCGAGGCCTGGAGTTGGCCACCCCTGCACTACAGGCAGGCTCTGTCATGGTTGGATGGTTATAAATGTAGAAAAGTATTTTCACTTCATTTCATTTTTTTTATCCACCATGTAGTACCATCTAGAAAACCTCTAATTAGCACAGCTTTATTTTTCAGCATGACAATGATCCCAAACACACTGCCAGTGTGGTAAAAGATAGGGATGTGGATAGAAAAACACACAATGTATCACTATCAGCCATAAATGGACCTCCCCAGAACCCCAACCGCAACATTACCGAAGCAGTGTGGGATTATCTTGACAGAGAACAGAACAAAAGTCAGCCAACATCCAAAGAAGAGCTTTGAACGTCCTTCAAGAAGCCTGGAGAACTATTCCTGAAGACTGGTTAAATGAACAAAAGCTGCCTCAGAGATTTCAGGCTGTGCTGAAAAATAAGGGTTGACATACCAAAATTGACAAATACTGACTTCAAGATTATTAGACTTGTACAAACCTTTTTTTTCTGTATTTCCATTTATGTTTGTACTTATTCCCATTCTCTAACAAAATATAAAGAGTTTTTTAGACAGGAATGTACACTTAACCTTTATTTGCAAAGAAGCTGTAGACTTCAGTGAATAAAGGACATTGTCGTTCCAGTTTAGTGTGTTTTCTGACACGTATGAAGCTCAAACAAAGCTGGTTATATTAGTGTTGTGGGTTTTTTGAAACCTAGGACACACTGAAATGTTCTTAATCTGGCATTGTGGGTTAGTGAGTATGAGACTAGGTTTGTCTTGAAAGACAAACCTAGTCTCATACACGAGGGCTAAAGTTTTTAGCCCTCACGACTAAAAACTTTGTTCTTCATTCATTTGTCTGCAGTTCTTCCTCATCTTTCCTTGTTGGCCTCTCCTGTTCCACCCACAGTTCACGCTGAATGCCACATAAAACACACAGCCTTTATATGATATAAATTAACATTGGTTCTTCTTTGTCCTTATACAAAAAATGCAATGTAACTGAAATTTTAGTAGTTTGCTTAATTGTCCTTGATTCTCAGCAGTAACACAAATGAATGTTTCCAAATTTTTATTTTATTTTTTCATTTTTGCAAACATTTCAGGTTATTAATAGAACACGTTGCTAACGTAAACAAAACAAATAAAACACTGTTGCTGTGGACTGAGTTTCCTCTTAAGGCATCTAGAGTATGTTAGGTACCCAGCTGTACCTTTAGAAGAACAAGTACCTCCACATTTTCAGGATGTTGGTATCGATTTGGTGCTGAAGTATCTGTTTTTGTGACATCCCTAAAAACAACAGTCTAGTGTATTTCTCCGATGACACTCTATAGTACAAACATGTTTGCAGCAGAGCTCACAAAGACCGTTTCATGCGTTTGTCGGCTGAGGTTGCCGTCGCGACTATAAAGCCCTGTGGTTTAATTTTTGTGGCTGTACTTTAATTTGGCTTTGGATCTTTTTAATTCTTCCTCGTTTTTGTGGCAGCATGTAGTGGGTGTTTTTGTTCAGGCTTGGAAGAGCAGAAATCGACTCTTAGTTGCCAGATGTCTATATTACAAAGCAGGATTTCAACTTATCTAGGTAACCCGGAGTTAACCCTGAAGTTTTCTGTAGTGTGAAGGTGGATCACTTCTTACTGGGGTGCATCACCATGGTAATGCACTTTGACCCTAACCTGCTCCAGAGCAGATTATGTTCTGGATTAGAGATCAACAGGTATGAAATCACTGTGTACATGACAGTGTGTACATAACATCACCATTCCTGCAAGACCCCAGAGACCTCTGTATACGAAATAGGAGGGTCTGAAGTCTTTGTGTTTCTCTGACTGTCAGTAGCTTAGATTCTCAGATCCAGCTTTATTACTTTTTTCCTCTGTTGGCCTCAGATTAATTTACAACAGTTTCATTGTTCCATCAGTATTAATTAGAACTAATTACATTTGGAACTTTTGCTGGCTTTCCTTCTTACCCTCAAAGAGGCTAAACTTTATTTATATCTGAGCTCTTTCTAGTCTTACTGGCTAAAACTTGCATGCATTCATACAGCACTTTGAATACTGAACTACTGAACACACTGGCACACACTCACCCTGCAGCACCTATGTTGCTTTGATTCTGTGTTGTGCGTTTTAAATTTTTCTAACATTACACTTTGCTATTCCTATGCTGCCAATACACTGTGTTCGTGATTAGCCAGATGCTGCTAGCGCCACTCCTTCCTGTGAACCTATTTGTAACTAGAACCCTGGGTTACTGAGTCGATAACCAGTTTTGTGCGGCTATAAGGGTAAATGAAGAAAGATCCCTTTGAAATGCTGAACTCGTGGTAGTACAAGCCTGAGAGAAAAGTAGATTATTTAGACTTTAAAGAGTCAACTAAGCTATGCTGTAAACTAATGTTGATGATTTCTTCTTTGTGCTCTGTTTTTCAGTGAATCAAGTATTTGCCAGGCTCGGGCCACTGTGATGATCTATGACGATGGCAATAAGAAGTGGCTTCCTGCGGGCACTGGACCCCAAGCCTTCAGCAGGGTGCAGATCTATCACAACCCAAGCAACAATGCCTTTAGGGTAGTGGGACGCAAGATGCAGACAGATCAGCAGGTACATCTGCCAGCTTTATGCAGGCTTAGCATAGTGTCTGGCTTTGTGAGATGTGTGTAGTGTCTGTCATGTGGCCTGTGGGCGTCTGTGTTGTTTAAAGGTGTCTGAGTAAGCAAGAGTGAGAATACTGGGTTTTGTAAGTACCCGTTCATTGACATCATTGTAAATGATACCCTAAACTGTATCTGTTTGTTATATGGAGCGTATTTACTGTAAGTATAGTTTTATTAGAAGCACTTGAGAGCATTTTTACATCGTCTACCACTGTGCTGTTTATGTCCCTCCCCCCTAAACCCTCTGCCCATCGAAGAAGCCACAGGAAGGATAATAAATCACAACCAAACCTATTTTCTGTCCCCTTGTTTGGTTGCAGAGCAGTTGTAGACTCTACCTTATGTTGCAGTTATTTACACTCACTGGCCACTTTATTGGGTACACCTGGCTAGTATACAAACACACACACTCTTTTGCCTTCAGAACTACCATAATTCTTCATGACACAGATTCAACAAAGTGCTGGAAACATTCTTCAGATTTTTTTGGTCCATGCTAACTTGATGTCATCACACAGTTGCTTCAGATTTGTTGGATGCACATCCATGATGGGTTTCATCTGTTCCACCACATCCCAAAGGTGCTCTACAAGACGGGATGGATCCAGTCTTTCATGTTGTTTATGCCACTGAGACCTAAGATCGGATCAGATGACATTTTTCCAATATTCTGTTGTCCAATTTTAGCCTGTGTGAACTGTAGCCTCAGTTTCCTGTTCTTAGCTGACAGAGGTGGCACCTGGTGCAGTCATCTGCTCTAACCCATCTGCTTCAATGGTTTAGAGATGCTTCTCTGCATACCTTGGTTGTAATAAATGGCTCTTTAGACAGGCTTCCTATCAGTTCAAAGCACTCTGGCTCTGCTCCTTTGACCTCTGACATCTTGTAGAGAACTGCCCCTCGCTGGACATTTTCTCTTTCAGACCGTGCTTTGTAAATGGCTGTGTGGGGAAAATCCCAGCACATGAGCTTTCTGAAATACTCCGGCCAGTCTGTGCGGCACCAACTATCATGCCACATTTATAATCAGTTAAATCACCTTTCTTCCTCATTGTGATGCTTGGGTTGATCTTCAGCAGGTCGTCTTGACCATGTGTACATGAGTTGCTGCCATGAGATTGGCTGACTAGATATTAGCATTAATGAGCAATTGATCACGTGTACTTAGTGGCCGGTCAGTGTATGGTCTAACTAGTTTCCTCATAGTTTCTCTCTGATGTCTGTGTGCGTGTGTCTGTGAGAGAGAGAGAGACAGAAAGGGGGAGGGGTGGAGCAAGCATACTGGCTTCTGTGGGGAGCCACTGTTTTAGAAACCCTCTATGAATTTTCATGATTTTATATACACTGATGCAAATATGATCACATGAACCTAGCAGACAGAAGTATTTACTTTTAGGCACAGAATGGATTAATGAAACCTGATGAAAGGTGGAGCAGGGAATCCGTTAAGTTAGCGCGTGGAGCACGATCGCTGTTTGCAGCCGTTTATCCAAACACTTGCTGCTCTTAACTACACTGATAAACAGGCCTTGGGTTACCTTATTTATCTTTAAGCCTGTGTTTTAATTCCTTTCAGTGCTTTTAATCTTACAGATTTTGCTGAGCTGAGCTTTGAATCGACTGTTGTCTTAAGCAAGAGCACTTCCACCACATTCATGCTTTTGATTACTGTCAGTTTGCGAGAGGTGCACACGAACATGCAAAGCTGTTTTTTGTGCATTGTCAGCATGCCTTTGGCATAACATGTAGGAAAGTCCTCCTTCAGTTTTGAGTGCTCAAAGCAGAGGATAATGAAGGCGTATCTATGTGGTTATCACCAGATTATGACTCCACAGCTGATAAAGGTGAGCCGATTCCATGTTACAAAGCAGGGTTTGGGTGCGTCTATTCTTGATACGCCCGTCTCAGTGTCTCTCTCTCTCCCCTTCTTTAAACATTCAGCACTCTGAAGTGTTCCCCCGAGACGTGTCTTAAAGTGGAAGATGTTTCCTGTGAGATAGTTAGCCTGTTCAGCCATTTCCTGTGACAATTTAGGACGTAGTTTGATACCCAGTAAGAACTCTATATTTGTGTCTGACGGAAACATCCAAGTGAGTTTAGGCTTGTGGTTAATGAGAGCAGCAGAAAGAAAATGAGAATTTTCTCTCTCTCCTTTTCATGTTCTCCTCTTTCTTTTTTCTTGTGCCTGTGGTGTCTTTAGAAGTGTCTTTGTGGTGTCACGCTTGTTTTAGGCATCCTGGTGTGATTTAAGACAAGTTAAAAAGCACAAGTGGAACCTGCGGCATTAAGGCTTTTCATCATGCCACAGGTTTTACTTGATTCCTTTTATCCTGATTCGTGATGCAATTCTCTTTGCATCTACACACTACCTTTCTATTTTTAAACAGGAAGACTGAAGTTTTATTTGTTTATTTTTGATGATGATGATGATGTCTACAGTGGCAGATGAACTTGCTACCCTTACATTCAGTGCATACTGCCCCCCTGACAGGGTCGCCTATCCTCCCCTCTCCTCTGTGGAATCCAGAGGCTGTTAAACAAATAGTGAAATGGCATGTCAGCACATTCAGGCAAACACTCAAACCCAGAACATTTTTCCCCAGCTCCATAAGCTTCACACCACCTGGTGGTTGGAATCTGTACCAGCATAGTCCACAAACATTTGAGCAGATACAGTCGTGTTATGCATAAGCAGGGATATTAGGTTGTGGAGATTTTAGAAGTTGTTTTGAATATATAATTTATTTTTAAACGACTTTGCTCCTCTGCTCTCTTTCTTCTCCTCAGGTTGTTATAAACTGTCCAATCGTTAGAGGCCTCAAGTATAATCAGGCCACACCTAATTTTCACCAGTGGCGGGATGCCCGACAAGTTTGGGGACTCAACTTTGGCAGCAAGGAGGATGCTGCTTTATTTGCCAATGGCATGAGCCACGCTCTGGAGGTCCTCAACTCCATGGCAGACGCAGGTAAATTAGCATCTGTAGCTACTCCATGGACTTTGCTTATGACTTTACAGATTTGATACTGTACGAATGAAAACATCCCAACCTTACAACTTCCTGTTTTGTGGTAACTTATCAGCCAGTACATGGGAAACATTATACTAACACCACACAGAGGTTACATATGTGTTTCTTGTCAATCAGTTAGAGAAAACAGGCACGTGATTGACTTGATACTAACACCGCCCTGGACCGCGTGAAACACTTTGCTAACAAGCTTCCTTCAAGTGATGAGTATGATTCACAGTGATGTACAACAAACAGGGTAGCTGGGTAGATATAAAAAGGTCAAATAATATAGCCTGATTATTAGTCCTGATACTCAGTTACTGCAGATACATTTCTCTCAGAACATTAAAGGAAGAGATTTCCCGAGAAGTGAATTTAAAAGCAAAAATGAATCATCAAGACAAACAAATTGGTGAGAGAATGGAAAATAAGACGTGCTGGGAAGGTCCGTCCTGTTGTCTGAGTGAAAAAAATTATTTGTTTGGCCTTGTGCTGCTGTGCTGGCTGCGGTTGTGCACAGGGTTGGTGTAAATGCATGAAAATTACTCACTCAGATCACATTTTGTCATTTAGATGTAGACTTTATTAATTCCACACTGGGGGAATTCACATGTTACGGCAGCACTGGATTTATTTATTTTTAAATAAGGAAAAAAAATGATGCAAGAGTAATTTCTACTATTTACAAATTGTTGCTATATGCAGTAAATATTTGTCATTGTCATATTTTTCATATGTGCATAAAGTGCAGTGGGAGTAAACTTTTATTTTTGTAGGTATCTATTGTGTGTAATGTACAGTCTGACCGCTGTTGGGATGAAGGACCTGTGATAAAGCTGCGTCCTACACTGTGGCTGTAACAGTTAAACACATTATTTATTAGACATCAGTCCACACGTGTCCATCCAATCCTGTTAAATAGAAAATAGTTTGAATATTTCCTCAGAAGGAATCCTGGTATTCATCGAACAGTCACATAATTAGAACTTTTGTTGTTTTGTTTTGTTTTTTAAATGTGTTGATTTTTAACAGTTTCAGCACTTATTCATAGTCAGCGTTGTTCTTACCTCTGCTTATTTACAACAGCTGGCTATTTAAATGAATACTCTGTATATCCTGTGTCGCTGAGCCATGAAAAATACTTGATAAAATGTAGCATTGTAAATGCTTGATTAGTGGGCACCACCCATTTGAGGTCCCTGTGTGTCATATCGTGGCTGTCCACACTGTCTGCAGACTTTGTACAGTATCAGCAGCAAAGATATCAAAAGGTGTGTACATCTGTAAAAGCACAGATTGGATAAACTTGAGCGTGTCAGTAATTATTGCTTTATAGTAATCATCACAAATGTTTTCTATTTTCTGTTTTGGCAGGTTATGCTACCCTCCCCCGCCCCGTGTCAAATGGGCCTTCTCCTGAAGAGCTTGAACAACAGCGGAGGTACCTTGAAGACTTTCTGCTAAATGCAGTCCGCCTTCTTCACTTTGCTAGTTGTAATCCACCGCTGGTTGCATTTTACTGCTTCTCTGCTTGCATATCTTCTGGGCTTGGTTCAGCTGATAACTCTGATTACATTTCCAGGTTTCAGCTTGGTCGTAAATAACTGTTTGTTTAATAATCAGATATTTTTTCTGATTCTTTTTTGTTTACCTCTTATGTGAGCTTACTGTACTGTGCGGCCATGTGAAGTGTATGTTTTCTAACTGATGCAAACAATCTCCTGGGTTCAGTTGCATAACAATCAATAGCAAGTCAAGCTGTTTTGGCTCTGTAGTAGTCCACTTGGCAGGGTTAGGGCACACACGCATATGCAGAGGATTTGATGGCATTAGCTTGACGCTGTTAAAGCCTTAGTCAGCCCCGTGTAGTTTAAAAGTTAAAAAGACAGTAAAGTGGATGCTGCTTACATTTTCCCGCCATGTCTCCATCAGCCTGTCCCATCAGCGAGACACTTGGACTCGCATGGACTAAGCATTAACCTTTTAATCTTATTTACACTAAAAGGTGATAAAGATCACAGTCTAGGAGGATTTTATAATCAGCATTGCTGCTTGCCTGGCTGTCTCATTATCCAGTGGCGTGCTGAGGCTCAGGGAGCTTCTAAAACCTTAAAAGTCCAACAGAGATGCAGGTGTTTGTGGGTAATATTTGCAGCTGTAAACATCGATGATGTTCAGCAGTTGTGAAAAGAGGCAGAATAACAGACATGAATGCGATCGCCCCTCACCCTTTCCTCGGCTCGCTGCTTGACATCATGTGTGATTACGGGCATGTGTGTGGCTCTGCACTTTAGTGTGTGTACACTGTGTACAGTGTATGTGTGGTGCTCTGTAATCAGCTGTTATGAGTGGCAGATGTGTTGGGGGAGAGGAGAGAGATGTAGCCAACTGAGGCAACTCGTATTGGATCATTTTGACCAGCTGTGGACTTTTTAGTGATAGACTAATTAAAAGTGAAATTCACCTCATGTCCTTGTACCAAATTCTCTAGATTTTATAAAACTCTCTTTTTGCGTGTTTGTTTGAAATGTTAGAAGTTGCCCTGAAACAGCGGTTGGTGCATAAATAATTCAGATATCTACAGGACATTTGCAAATGATTCAAGGCTTTCTGAGTCTCAGACTTGTGTTCACATACAGATGTAACAGATTTGTTTGTTTGTGCACAGGTTGGAGCAGCAGAGGTTGGAACAGCAGGAACGGGAGCGTCAGGAGAGAGAAAGACAGGAGTGGGAGCGGCAGGAAAGAGAGAGGCTGGAAAGAGAAAGACAAGCTGCTGCAGGTCAGGAAACACCTGCGCTGGTCAACTTAACACCACTTGACATTAATACACTTCAGTTTTGTTCTGTTTCAGCGTTATTCTCAGATAAATGTGCAGCACATGATTGCCCTGAAAGGAAAGCTGGAATTCATTCTGCGTACCAAAAACAACAGGAGATTTTAAGACTGATACAGGGTCGTGTCAGACAGAGGTTGTGACTTTTTCTGTAACTGGCTGAATTTTTGTTTTTTTGTTTTTAAACGTTGATGGAAAATCTGAAGGCTGTCCCTAATTCTGAACCGTAATAATAAATGATTCATGCACAACACTGTCGAGAACTGTGCTCTCAGCATCGGTGCCGCATCTTTCTTGACATCAGACATCATATATTAGAATTGTCGATCAAGGTCTTGGAGTGTCTGTATCCACAAGCAGTCACAGAGGGGGTGCAGCTGCACCGGGTACAAAAGCATGCTGCTGGATGCCCTCCAGATAAACCAAGTGCTTATAGGATTGGAAAGCAGATAAGATGCTGCTGGTAATTCCAGTGTCCAGCAGAGTGAAAATTTAGCATTCAAATCACAATTAAATCAGACATTAAAAGTGGTTTGTCCAAGGCAGAAAAATATAAAACCACTAGACATGGAGCATCAATCAAGCTGTTTAAGTTAAATTGGAATTTTTAGATGCAGGAGCTGTTTTAGTGCTTTAGGTGCTGCCTCTATGCTCTGTTTATGCTTTTGACAGTTTTAGATAAAGAAGATCAGTCATGCCCTCTGTATCATACAGAAGCCATCTAAGCACCTGCGTCATGCTCTCATTGGTGTGAATCTTCTCTGAATACTTTGCAAACTGATGGTCCTTCTCTGTCCAGTTCCTCCAGCCCCTCCAGCTCCTCCACTGGCCACTGGAGGCCCTGCTCCTCCACCGGCTCCTCCTCCACCCCCTGGCCCTCCTCCAGCTCCTGCCCCTCCTCCAGCAGCTGGCATCCCCCCGCCTCCGGGACCACCTCCCACAGGACCTCCCCCGGCCCCACCCCTGCCCACTTCGGGTGGCGGAAATGGCATTGGCGGTGGGGGAGGAGGGGCAGGAGGGGGCTTGGCGGCTGCCCTTGCAGGAGCTAAACTCCGCAAAGTATCCAAGGTGTGTGTGTGTGTGCCAGATTTGACTGTTACTTTGCTGCTGCTGTTAAAGGCCTCATTAGGATACAATTGACAAATCACTCAATCTGTCATGTGCTTCTCTCATTATTCTAATTGGATATTCCGCTTTTGTACTGACACAATACTAAGAGTTATTTAGAGATGTAGATCTGTGACACCACCATCCATGCTTTTGCTATTTGCTGCCCTCAGCAGGATGATGGCCCGCCTGCACCTCCAACTCCAGCTCCAGTTTCCAGAACTGAGTCCACCCGCAGCAGCAACGCATCCATTGGAGGAGGAGGAGGAGGGGGTTTGATGGGTGAAATGAGTGCCATCTTGGCACGCAGGTGGGTGACGCCACAGGTTTGAAGCCACATAAGGTTTTATATTAAGTAGTTACAATCTTCACTTGTCTTTTGATCAATAATCATTTATTACATGCGTTATATTCAGTCAGCTCTTGCAAGTTTTTCTGCTTGATTATTAAAACTTAGTATTTTTATTTTCCTTTATCAGGAGAAAAGCTGCAGACACTGGAGAGAAGCCACCTGTGAAACCACAAGATAATGTAAGGGTCGGCTTTTTGTCAAATTGTTTTTGTAATAATAATTTTATTCTTGGACTTTATTAAAGTAGCTTTGCATCCTTTATAGTTCATATAACCCATATTTATGTCTTGATGCATTCTCAATCATCCAGGAAAGTAAATCTCCAAAACGTTGATTCTGTTCATCTGGACATA